TATATTGCACGCACACCTTCACTCCATCCTGAGGGTCTCCTCAGCTCAGAGCCTGACCCCAAACATTGATGAACTTGCACCCAAGATGAGATGCCAAGTATCTGAACTAGCATCACAGAGCAGCACACTGAGTCTAATGGATGTTTCCTTCTGAACTTTCTTTCTCACGACAACAGGGCATGTTTGTTTTTCTCTTAGAGGGAAATAGTTTTGTTGAAGCTGTTGTTGGCCTGTGGGAAAATGTACTCATAAGAAATGACTCTGGAAAAGCTGCAGATAGAGCCATAAGAAATGAATGGAAATGATTATTTAATGTTTCATGTTGTTTTTATAGGCAATCATTTAAGCTTTGTTAGTTCCAGGTTTAATATGTGCAATAAGTTCATTTCAATAAGTTTTGCAATAAATATTGAACCAGTCCGGCCCTCGACTAGAACCCATTTTTTAATCTTGGCCCACTGTGTATTTGAGTTTGACACCCCTGATACCATCAATGAACACATGAGCACTTTATACTACAGTTTAAAAAAGCAGAAATAACATTTGAGCTGGCAGAAAATTATCCGTTTTGGTTTAATACACACAGATAAGCTCAGACACACTATTTTATGAACATAGGTTCACCTACTGACTTAAAAACAGATCAAATGAACCAAAGAAAGTGAAACCATAAAGCAGATTCAGGCATATAGATTCACACTTAAAGTATTATCCTACAGAACAGCACAGCTTACAGAGAAGAGATAACATCTGATCCTTTTAAAACAAACACTATATGCTCTTTTTAGTCTTTTACTAACATTGTAATCCGGCTAGTAATCCCAAATGTTGGAGAAATGTACCAGAAATCAGATTTTTTTTTTAGGTAACTGTAAGTGAATTACTTTTTTGTTTCTATCCTACGTAATGTCATTACATATAATCCATTATTCCCCAAACCTGGTTATCATCATATTTTCTATTTCTGTAAGCCTGTGAAAATGTCTTCCAGTCCGTCTACAGCACCGTCTGTCTTTAATGGCAAAACAGAAAAGATTCCAAGAAAGGTCATAAAAAGAAATCGCAGACAGCCATAACAATAACGGCAGGCACGTGAATGATATGTAGAAAATCATAAAATGTGTTGTTGATTTATCCAAACCTCTACATTCCACGGGAAAGACGAGCGACATAAAGATGCTATCTATACCCTCAGCAGACCAGGGTGCTAGCATCAGGCTGTGTGATTAAGGCGGAGGAAATTGGCGTTCCCAAATGGATCACCATAGAACGGGAATTTGTTTCCAACTGCGCCGAATTATCCTGTTAAATGGTGGACTGCCTCCAAAAGCTGAATTTGGGAGTCAGCACGTTTTGGAAAGACAAGATCTACGACGAGGAAGAGTGCTTCGTTTTACTTGGCCTGCAGCCTCCCAGACAAATAATATTGTAAAAATAACGTGAATAATTTTGCTCTGTGGGAATTCAAATCAAAACAAAGCTTTATTACCTTAAACAAATGACACATTTAACTCAAATATGACAACATTTTGAATTGGGGATTATAAGTAAGTAGAATTATAGCGTCTGTTGAGACTCGTCGTTTAAAAAGACTAACTTTTAACCTCCGCGGTTATTTGAGGTCACTCGCAGCATTGACCAATAGCCATGTGTTTATGTCGGGCCATAAAGCTGTTTGACCTCTGAACTTCATGAGAGCTGCCAGATGAAGATCTTCCGCAGCGACACACTCGTAACAGAGCTCGAAAAAAACAACATTAAGGCTGTCCCTGATTATTCAGATCGCAAAGTGTCTCAGTAGCTGTCTTTAAACTTGTAACAAATAAAAAAAAGCCCCCATCCCACTCATAAATCCCTTCTGAGGAAAGCTGAGAATCACCAAGTGTGACGAGGACTTGGGTCCAGCTCCAACTCTAATTTATCACTTCACTTTCTCGCGCCATTCCTGCCCCTAAGGAAGCATGACTTCATCGCCAAAGCACTGACTCTGCAGGAGATCAGGTCAGAGGCTGCTTTCCCTAACCCTCCCATCCTGCATGCCCTTCCTCTCAGGGTCGTCCTCCTCACTTATTGCTCGAACAGATTTCACCCCACTGCCAGCTGATATGTTAGTTTGCAGTCTGTGTGTTAGTACAAGAGCGTCTGTACATCTGCATGTCTGTCAGTGTGTGTGAGAAGTAAATGTGTGTTAGCGGGCTTGAAGGAATGTGAGCATGTGTAGAGGGTCTGGCAGACTCAACCGACACATTGCTCGCCACTTAATACACACATCCACGCACACTTTGCATGTCCCCAAAGTAGCGCTTAACGACATTGTTTTCTGCATGTCCGACACATTTTAACTTCGTATTTAAACCCTGCACACACTGCTCTAATCTCTCTAAGACAAACCTGATTTCACACACTCTTGGATGTGCAGTAAAACACCTCACTGCGCTCCAAACGCACACACACATTTTCTGAGTGGTCTGTAACGAAGCCCAGCAGACAGAGGCTCGGCAGCCAGGATTTAATCCTGAGAAACTCTGTGACCTGCCGGCGTTAGAGCAGGCCAGACACTGTACACACTAATATTACACTGGCTACAGTACCGCTGGATCTCGTGAGACAAGGGTGGAACCATTACATTTGGGAAAGAGCCGAGCAGTCGGATGAGTCTGGAACGAAAGTGCTCAGTGTAACAGGCAGAACCGTTTCATTATTAGTTGTGGCGAGGACTGCGAGTCAAGAATATTTTCAATTAATTGCCGTTTATTTTCTTGGTTTATGGATTTACCTTAAAATGTCAGAAAATTATCAAAATGTTACTTTCTCAAAGTCAAGGGGAGATGTCTTAATTTGTCTTCTCTTGTCAGCTTTAAACCCATAGATATTCACTTTTATACGATATGAACTGAAAAAAACAAGAAATCTCAAAGGTCCTGTGTCATGCTTTTCCGGTTATTACCCGTCCCCTTGTGTGCTATGTAGCTTCTTGTGCATGTAAACGGTCTGCAGAGTCACAAGCCCTCAAAGTACACCCTGTAGCGAGTAAAACTCTAACACAGAAAAGACCTGTCTATGCTGCCCCAGAACGCCTCGTTGGAGATTTCTCTTTTTCCATTGTTTTCTTCTTGGTTATAGTGACGTATTTGGGTATAGTGACGTAACGTAACGGTTGAGTCCGTGGAGCCGTTACGTTTGGACCAATCCGCGGACTTCCTCACACACACACACACACTCGAAGGGACGTTGAGAGGCTCGCTGCTGCGATGAGCGGGACACTTGGAGCTGGCTCACTGGTGTGGGGTCAGCGAGACAGCGAGACACCGCAGAACTCAGCCTGAGCACACACACAAACTCCCAGTCAGGCTGCGGGTGTGTGTGTGTGTGTGTGTGTGTGTGTGTGTGTGTGTGTGTGTGTGTGTGTGTGTGTGTGTGTGTGTGTGTGTGTGTGTGTGTGTGTGTGTGTGTTTGAGGATGGGATTCGCTGTGTCTCGCTGTCTCACAGACGGCCACTGGGCTCACGGAGAGGGGGGGGGGCAGGAGCTCCAACAAGCCGTTTAGGACAGAGAGTGAATACACATACTATACAGAGATGCTGTATGAGAAACCAATGAGAGTTTGGAAAATTGCACAATATACATTTATTTTAGTAGACCTAACAATGGAATTATGATCAGTAGAAATGGCCATGGGACCTTTAACATTTGAGAGGCCATTTTTGAATGAGAAATTATTTTACGATTATTGTAATACTGTAGAGAGCGTTTCTTTCTGTTGATTTGTAAATTGATGAGTAAATATCGAAGCAGCTATAGTTTGGACCTTTCATCTAATAGTCCAAGTGAACTTTCCCCCAGATCTAGGGATCTTTTGAGAAACTGGACTGCACAGACAGGGTCTAATCTAATTCATCAGGATTATTTTACTCCCCGAAAGTCCCTGACTGAGGCGTACTACTTTCCAGTCTAGGAACTTTGCAGTGGAACATTTCTGTTTGTTGGAGTACTCACAATTCGGCTTCACTTGCCATTTCTTACAAATCTGCATCAGAGAGCAACTGGCAGGGTGCCTTGACACTGGCAAATGCAAGTATAAAACATCCAGTTCTTTTCCATTCAACGCAAAATTATTCGTCTGATCTTGGTGGGAGGAAACATAGACAATTGGACGAGTAGTTCCTTGGATCAAACCCCGGCTTAATATCATCAAATGTCTTGTGTTGCCCAACTAACACTCAGAGATATTGCAAATATTAGGTTTACATAAGACACAGAGAAAAGGCACATACAACTTTAGAAGCTGGAACAAGGGACGGTTTGCTTTCTTAGTTCAATAAGGACGCTGAAAAGCTGCTGCAGATCAACTAATCAAGTAATGGAATACATATACAGCATTGTTTAGGTTGGTGGGTGTGTGTGATTGCTTCCTATTCGAGGAAGTTTCAGTTAGTGTGATCGATGAATAGTTACTGACCTCCTCCTCCTGCTCCACAGCTGGAAGAGAGCTGGCCGCTCGAGCAGGTACACATGTTGGGTCTGGAGCAGAAACCATCACCACAGGAATTCCTGCAAATGGCTGGAGAGAGGAGACGAGAATTTAATAGATTCATTTATTTTTGTGTCCTCAGCCCCTACACAAAAAGCCGTGTTTCCATTCAATGACCAAGCGACCTTTAACCAACTTTTGCAATGTCGCCAGATAAAAAGAAATGCAAATTAGGCCCGTTTCCATCAACTGAGTGGTGCGGACAATCTTGGTGAAAGGAACCAAACAAGTTTAATTATCTTCAAGAGAAAAATGGAGAGTCTGACAGTTTTATTTTTTGTCAATTGGTATTAGCCATTTCTACGATATTGGAAAACTCAAAGAAGAAGTCAAAACCAGAAACAGTTAATCAGTCATGTGAGTTACATTTTCAAAACTTCACAATTAGATTAAGCAAATTAACTAGCATAAAAACATTTCCCGACAATTTAGGACGTTTTTATAGAATTTTCAAGTTTTTAATACAGCTTTTCGAATGGAATACTTAAAAAATGTGAATAAAAACAAGTGATTGGAAACATGGTTAATGACACAAACAGCATTATCCCACCCTTCTATGTGATTTTTTCTTCTACTATGCTTTGTGTTAAAGAGGATTTAAGGATGGATGAACTTACGGACGATACACTGGTTCCCTCCCGGCAGAGTCTTCCAGCCGGGGCAGCAGTACGAGTGGAAGCGAGAGCCACAAACATTGGGCCTGACGGAGACACAAAAAAACAAAGAACACACAAATTCAATACATGTCACTTGTTAGGCACTTTTATCCAAAGCAACTTACATACATTCAGTACTGTGGGCAATCCCCACAGGAGCAATTTGGGGTGAAGTGTCTCAGGGACACAACGACATGCTGACTGCAGTGGGACTTGAACTTGCTACCCCCTGTTTCAAAGTTCAGCGCACTAAACTCAGCGCACTAGACCACTGAGCCACAGCCTCACTGTACTCACCCAGACCTCCCAAACATATTTGAGTAAAAGCCCTAAACAAATACACGGTAGAGTTACTTTCTGAGCTGCATGGCCTTGCCTTTTAAGTANGTCACTTGTTAGGCACTTTTATCCAAAGCAACTTACATACATTCAGTACTGTGGGAAATCCCCACAGGAGCAATTTGGGGTGAAGTGTCTTGCCTAGGGACACGCTGACTGCAGTGGGACTTGAACTTGCTAACCCCTGTTTCAAAGTTCAGCACACTAAATTCAGCGCACTATACCACTGAGCCACAGCCTCACTGTACTCACCCAGGCCTCACTGTACTCACCCAGACCTCCCAAACATATTTGAGTAAAAGCCCTAAACAAATACACGGTAGAGTTACTTTCTGAGCTGCATGGCCTTGGCTTTTAAGTAAACAAAACAGACTTTGATATGAAGCCTCCTCAAGAGATGGATGGAGGGGAAAGGAAATGTGAGGGGCCTATCATATGAGGAGCAGCATTTTCTTTTTATTCACGGATGGATTTAAGGACAGGATGTATAAAATCCTCCTTTCCCCCAAATTCCACGCCTGTTCTCTGCAAAATATCCAAATGCAGCATTCCCATACTGGAGCTTGCAGTGGCCCTTGACCCTGTTTCACAGATGTAAGACTCATCATAGCTTATGAAGCGCTTGATTAGCATGACAGGTTAGCCACAAGGATTTCCTCTGAGAAGATGGTTAAACCACATCTAGCAATCACACACACACACATGCGCGCCCACACACACACACACACGCGCATGCACACACACACGCGCGCGCGCACACATACACACACGCGCGCGCGCACACACACACACAGCTGCCTGACCAGCGAATGCCCAGTTTTGATCTACCGTGAATAATTACTTTTAACCAGGTTTATTTAGGAACAGAGGAAAAGTCCCAACATGCTCCAATCCCAAAGCAAAAATCCACATAATATAAGGAAGTGTGTGTGACTCAGCGCTGCATGAAGCTGTTTAACAAGCTGAAGGGATTCCAACTGTGTGGTGATAATAATGATACCCTTAGTGACCTTTCAAAGCGCATAATGCCGGCTGTGGTCCTCTGTGTGTTGGTGGTTACTTGTTTGCATTTGCCCATGGCAGGACTGAGATTTGAGGGACCACAACTTTGGATAAAGTCTGATCCAGATGCTCATGGTAAAGTCGTTTGCAACAGGGATCACGGAAATCATTTACGACAGTTTAAAGTGATGCTTGATTACCCTGTGTGTTTTTTAAATGATGAAGAACTAGAAAGGCAACTATTTATCAAGCCTTTACAAGGGTATATGGTTTATTTGAAAGAGACAGTGCTTATTTATAGAATGGTGGGAATAAAGGCAGCGTTAGCTAGTTAGCTCTTTTCTGTTGTCCCTCAGTAGTTGAAAGCACAGACGCTAGGAATAAAAAAGCTACAAATACAATAAACTAAAACTCTTTAACTTCATATTCCCTATTTTATAACACAAGAAAGACTTTTCCTCAAGAATTATATTGACTTTTAGTCTAAAGTTAGACATTTTCTATGAAGCAAGAGAGCTAGAGGAATGAGTACTAAAGTGAGTTAGCATTTTAGCATTTCCTGTTTCTGGGTTTTGGGGTCAGTGTTTATTTTATTTAAAGGGGCCTGAAATGAAATCTCTGGGTAGCACAAGCTAGAGACATCTAAAGTTTTGTTCTATGACATTAAATATGTTAATGTGTAAAAAACGAATGATAAAAAATATATATTTAACCAGATAAAAAGCATTGAGATAAAATCTCATTTACGATGCTGACCTGGCCAAGAAGGCAGCAACGTTACACATAACACAGACATGTAAAATACAGAGAACACAACTAAGAAAACAAAAGACGAAAAAAGCAGTCACTACAGTGTGCACATTAGGATAGTAAGAAAGGCACTACTTATTACTGCAAGAGCAGCTGGTGGTAAGGACTTCTGACAACTTCAATTTAAAACAGGCTATTGAGACAAGTGCCGTCAGTTTGAGGCGTGATTGAAGGTCATTCCAAGACCAAGACCCATCATAAAAAAGACTCCTTTTTCCCGCCTCAGTCCGCACGGCAGGAACCTGGACCCGTATCCAGGCATTGGTTCTGAGGTTGTAAGAGTTACAAACTGGAACAAATCTGGCACATTAATAAGAATGATCATAAGAATGATAAGAAGTGTCTATAAAACCTCATCATGGCTAACATTAGCCGCCTTTAGCTTAGCGACGGTGACGTTAACTTACTTCTGGCAAGTCTATTTGTAGTGTGAATGTGTGAAGATTACGGTGCTGGACAAAACTTGTAAGGATCACAAACTGCTGCTTTCCAAATATATTTTTTTATCTTCTGTTATATTCCAAAATCCCAAAGCCATTGTGTTTTTATCGGGGGAACGAGTGTAATGTTAACGTGAGGCGATACGTCATCCCAGCAACACTTTATTAGACCCTCCATGCCTGTAAAATTCCCTCATCATTCAAACTCCATGTTTCCTGTTTTAAAACACAGACTGTCCGTCAAACATTTGAATTCTGAAGCCTAACATAGGAGACATCATCCGAGTTATTATTTCAGACTCTGCAAAGCTCCCTCCAGAGCCACGTTAGACCTTTTTACAACTGTTTTCACAGCCTCACTACAACTAAACTGACCTCTATGTAGAAAAGAAAGTGAGCTTTAAGTTGAATTTGCAGCCCAAAGAAGGAGATTTAGAGAAGGATTCTTAGCCCTGATGAACTTCTCAAGTTCTGTGTGAAACCGATGACCTTCCTCTCCTTCTCAGCAGACGTATCGACAGAAGCCCCGGGGCCGTCACCAGGGAGATGACAGCTGGGCTTTGAATCTCTGATGGATGGAGAGCAGAGCTCACTTCCAATCACATTACCAGATGGCACCGAGAGACAGAGGGACGCACAAACAGGTGGGCAAGCAGACAGCCGATATTAACACAGGTAGAGTTTAAAGATTAAACAGGAAGACGGGAGATCCACAGAGGGTTTGTTTTAGAAAGGGTGAAGAGCGTTATGGTTGCTAAACTTAAAAACAGAGTGAAGGAGAAGAGTGTGGCGATGCAACCAATAGTCATCTTATCTTACAGTCTGTCAAGAGAAAAGTATTACACCCCCTTTCCTGTAGTGTGTTATATAGGTTTTTGCTTAAATCATTCGTCTACTTTTTTAACATAGTGACATCACCATGTAACACTTGAACTTCTATTGGATAGTGCTCCAATTAGGGCTGCTCGATTAGCAAAAATCATAATCTCGATTATTTGGGGCAATAATTGTAATTGCGATTATTAAATGCAATTATTCATTGACTTTGAAAACATCCATTTATTGGAAAAAAAAAATGTGAACAGTATGTTTTTAAAAGTTGATTACCCTGAACTTTAAATATAATTCAACTGAAAAAAAAAAAAATAATAATAATAATAATAATAATTAAAAAAAATTTATTTCGATTACGTTGTTTTCGTAATCGTTGCAAGCCATAATCGTAATCGCGATTAAAATACGATTAATTGAGCAGCCCTAGCTCCAATCCATTGTACGTGATAGGCTAAGGGGCGGGACATCTTGAAGCGGTTGATCAATCACAACAGAGCCAGCCAGCTAACCAATCAGAGCAGACTGGGCTCTGGTTTCAGACAGAGGGTGAAAAGAGGTGCTGCAGCACAGGCATAATAAATACTCACATGAAACTGAAAATGAGTATAATAGGGCGTCAAGTCGGAGCCCTAAACAAGTATAAGATTGTTGGCAGTGTTGCGAGGACGACGCTTACAGTAAATAACTACATATTATGTGTAAATACATGGATGGTATGAGGGGGGTGGGAAGACGGGACGGTGGGAAAAGAAACAGGGGATCAGTGGGAGGGAAAACAAAACAAGTTTATGTTGAGAAGAGGAGGAAGCAGGAAAAAGGAGTGGGGAGAGGAGATATGGAAACGAAAAAAAGAGAGAACAGCAAAAGCAAGAAGAGGCCAGACCCTTAGTGGGGGTTGAATTTCTGGGGCAAAAACTGAGCTCCGAGAAAAACTTGAGAAATGCATGGAGCGGCATTCCAGCACTTAATGAGCAGTGAACCCCACGTCTTCCCCGATCTATTTCTCCATGAAGCGCTGCAGATTTTCCACTGTTACAGACCGGGGGGATGTCAATGTATGAAGGATTATAGGGGTTTGACCCTGAGGTGCTCTGGATTATTATTCTTCCTCCCTCTCAGCCTTTCCTCCAGGTCAACGCCTGGTCTCAGAGAGGAGGCTTTAGAGGATGAACTGAAGTAATACAGAATGAAAGACAGCCATAAAAAAATGAGTTAAGCCCCCAGGGGTTTTCCTCAATATGTGAAATGTCCCACTGTTCTCAGGGCTCAATCTAAAGGAGATTAACTCTTCTCTGGCCATGTCGCCGCCTTTGAAGCTGCCTCCCGGCCCGTGGATCGCTCGTTAACTGCCATTAATAGTAATAAAAGGAAAATGGCTGCCACCTCATCAAGGGGGAAATATGAAGAATGAGAGCCAAAAGGAAAGTGGAGTCATACTTCAAAGGGGGGGAGGGGAATAGGATTTAGGGACATGAAGCACGCCAAATAATAGTTGATAGAGGGCATCTGATAGAAACTATTTGATAAATTAACGATTCAGTCATTTTTTTGACGGTTGTTGACATTTAGCCAGGAAGATCAATATGTCTCGTTGACATTTTTTAGACATGTCACATTTT